AATATTTGCAAATCAATAAACGTGATACACCACATAAATAAAATGAAGAATAAAAACCACATGATCATATCAATAGAAGCCGAAAAAGCCTTCAACAAAATCCAGCATCCCTTTCTGATAAAAACTCTCAGCACTGTGGGAATAAAGGGATCATATCTACATATAATTAAGGTCATATATAAAAGACCTACAGCCAACATCATACTCAATGGGTAAAAACTAAAAGCATTTCCCTTAAGAACAGGAACAAGGCAAGGCTGCCCACTTTCGCCACTCCTATTTAACATAGTACTGGAAGTCTTAGCCACAGCAATCAGACAGGAAGAAAAAAAAAGGATCCAAATTGGAAAGGAGGAAGTGAAATTGTCATTATTTGCAGATGACATGATACTATACATAGAAAACCCCAAAGAATCCATGAAAAGTTTACTAGACTTAACAAAAGAATTTGCCAAAGTAGCAGGATACAAAATTAACGTCAAGAAATCGATGGCATTCTTATACACCAATGATGAACTGACAGAAAGAGAAACTAAGAAAACAATCTCATTTAACATTGCGGAAAAAAATTAAATACCTAGCAATAAACTTAACCAAAGAATAAAGGACCTATTCATAGAAAACTACAGGTCGCCCTGGCCGGTTTGGCTCAGCGGTTAGAGCGTCGGCCTGCGGTACAGAGAGACCCGGTTTCGGTTCCCGCTAAGGGCACGTACCTCGGTTGCAGTTTGTCCCCGGCCCTGGTTGGTCGTGCGGGTGGCAGCCACTCGATGTGTCCCTTCACATCGATGTTTCTCTCTCTCTCTCTCTTCCTCTCTCTCCCTCCCACTCTGTCTGAACAAAAAATGCAAAAATGTCCTCGGGTGAGGATTAAAAAAAAAAAAATCTACAGGTCATTGAAAAAAGAAATAGAGAAAGATATATAAAAGTGGAAGCACATACCCTGTTCATGGATTGGGAGAATAAACATCATTAAAATGTCCATATTACCCAAAGAAATCAATAGATTCAATGCAATCCCCATCAAAACACCAACGGCATACTTCACAGAATTAGAACAGTTATTTCAAAAGTTCATATGGAACTAAAAAAGGCCTCGATAGCCACAGCAATCTTGAAAAGGAAGAACACAGTTGGAGGGAATCACAATACCCGATATCAAGTTATACTACAAAGCCACAGTAAGCAAAACAGCCTGGTACTTGCACCAAGAACAGGCATATAGTCCAGTGGAACAGAACAAAGAACCGAGAAATGGACCCAAGGCAATATGCTCAATTAATATTTGATAAAGGTGGCAAGAGCATACAGTGGAGTAAGGACAGCCTCTTTAATAAATGGTGCTGGTAAAATTTGACAGCTACTTCCAGAAAAATGAAACTAGACCATCTGCTTACATCCCACACAAGAATAAACTCAAAATGGATAAAATACTTAAATGTGACTCATGAATCCATAAAAATCCTAGAAGGGATTGTAGGCAACAAAATTTCAGACATCATACGCTACAGAATTTTTACTGACACATCACCTAAGGCAATAGAAACAAAGGAGAACATGAACACATGGGACTACATCAAACTCAAAAGCTTCGGCACAGCAAAAGATACAATCATCAAAATGGAAAGGTACCCACTGTATGGGAGAGCATAATTGCCAATGATATATCAGACAATGGGTTGATTTCCAATACATATAGAGTGCTTATACAATTCCACAAATGGAAGACAAAGAACCCAATTAATAAATGGGCAGAGGAACTAGACACCTCTCCAAACAGGACATACAAATGGTTAAGAAACATATGAAGAAATGCTCATCAGCACTAATCATCAGAGAGATGCAAATTAAAACAACAATGAGGTATCACCTCACACCTGTCAGAATGGCCACCCTCAACAAATCATCAAGCAATAAGTGTTGGCAAAGGTGTGGAGAAAAGGGGACTCTAGTGGACTGTTGGTGGGAATGCAGACTTTTGCAGCCACTATGGAAAACAATATGGTGTTACCTCAAAAAATTAAAAATTGAACTTCCATTTGACCCAGTGATTCCACTTCTAGGAATATACCCTAAGAAGCCTAAAACACCAATCAGAAAGAATATATATACCCCCATGTTTGTAGCAGCACTATTTACAATAACTAAGATCTGGAAACAGCCCAAATGTCCATCAGTAGACGAATGGATAAAAAAGCCGTGGTACATATACACAATGGAGTACTATGCAGCTGTAAGAAAGAAAGATCTCTTATCGTTTGAGACGACATGGAGAAACCTGGAAAGTATCATCCTAAGTGAAACATGCCAAACAGAGAAAGACCAGTTTTATATGATCTCACTTATTTGTGGAATATAATGGACATAACAGTCCGAGGAATGGAGTAGTCCCAGAGACGTGGAAGTGGGGTACAGACTGACAATCCCCAGAAGAAGGGGTTAACCACAGAACTTATATGCATGTATGCATGAACAGTGGACATGGACAATAAACTGGGTACAGGGCAGGGAGGGACGGGGATGGGGGAATCAGTGGGGGGGAAAGGAGAAACATCTGTAACAAAATTTAATTAATAAAAATCATTAATTAATTAATTAAAAATAAAATAAATTAACAAACAACAAATGCTGAGGAGGATGTGGAGAAAGAGGAACTCTTGTGCACTGTTGGTGGGAATGCAGATTGTTGCAGCCACTGTTAAAAATAGTATGGAGTTTCGCCCAAAAACTAAAAATGGAATTGCCTTTTGACTCAGTGAGTCCACTTCTGGGAATATAGCTTAAGGAACCCGAAACACTAATTTGAAAGAATATACACACCCTTGTGCTCAGTGTAGTGTTATTTACAATAACCAAGATCTAGAAGAAGCCCAAGTACCAATCAATAGATGATTGGATAAAATATCCATGATACAGTTACACAATGGAATACTACTTGGCCATAAATAAAATGAACTCTGACCCTTTACAACAGCATGGGTGGACCCAGAGAGTATTATGCTAAGTGAAATGAGCCAGTCAGAGAAAGATAAATACCATATGATCTCACTTACATGTGGAATATGAAGAACAAAATAAACTGATGAACAGTATAGAAATAGAGGCATGGATACATGGAACAGACTGCCAGCAGTCACAGGGGAGGGGATTTGGGGACTAGATGAAATAAGGGGAGGGGATTAAGCAAAAACCATATACATACATAAGGACACAGATAAGAGTATGGTGATAGCTAGAGGGAAAGAGGGGTGTGGGGGAGGTGGAGGTGGGTAAAGGGGAGATAAATGGGGACCGAAAGTGTCTTTGCTTTGGGCAATGGACACACAAAACAGTGTGCAGATGATGTTTTGTTGAGTTTTATACTTCAAACTTGTATGGTTTTGTGAACCAATGTCATCCGAATAAATTCAATTAGAAAATAAAGAGAACATATCAATGAGAAACAGAAGCTAGCGTGAATGGGCTCCCACTAAACAAATATGAGAAATTATGAATAAAAATTTTAAACACAATTAATAATATTAATGGATTTCAATTCATTGAATAAAAATCTATCTCTTTATGTTAATCATCACCTAATTAATTTAAAAATAAAATATTTTTCTTTTTTTTTTTTTTTTTTTTTATCCTCACCCGAGGACACTTTTTCATTCTTTGTTCAGATAGAGCAGGAGGGAGAGAGAGAGAGAAACATCGATGTGAAAGGGACACATCGAGTGGCTGCCACCCGCACGACCAACCAGGGCCGGGGACAAACTGCAACCGAGGTACATGCCCTTAGCGGGAACCGAACCCGGGTCTCTCCGGACCGCAGGCCAACGCTCTAACCGCTGAGCCAAACCGGCCAGGGCTAAAATATTTTTCTTACAGTAGTATGCCATGTGAAAAATGTAGAGGAATAATATATTTAGAAAATCACCTATTTGCAAAATAAGTTTTGTTCATGCAATAACAATCAATAGTTGTTAAAACTATTGAGTGCAATGTAAAAGAGAATCATAATAACTTCAAAGCATTTCCCCACAAATTACTTATTAACTATGTACTGAAAACATGGTACTTTTACATTGTAATAACCTGACAACATTGACGTTAAAAGTGCATACTTACAGTGGGGAAAGCAGACATCATGCTCCTTTTTGAGTAATGCACTGAGAAAAACACAATTAACTCTTGTATTTCTTCCAAAAATGAGTAGGAAACATCTAATTAATGCCATAAAAGACAAAGAAAGACTGAGCACTGATACCAGATTATAGGCTAAAGAGATGTGGAAATAAATGCAGTACATAATTGAATCATATATCAAGGAAAACGGCTATAACAAACACTTTGGAAATGATTGACAAAAATTATATATGGACTACAGATTAGAAAATAGTTTGTCAGGTTATATGTTCTGTATTTATAATTGCATTACAATTTTAAAAATAATGTTTGTTATAAAGAAATACACACTGGAGTGTTTAGGGATAAAGGGGTATGATATCTCAAAGTAATTCTCAAGCAATTCAGTAAAAAATTAAACACACATATATTTGCATACTTGCCTTTTAAATACAGCTATGATGTATTATAATGCATTTACCTTATTATGATAATATTGCTGATCATACTAAACTGATAGCCATCTAAGATTCAACCTAACCAGCAGATTGCTCCATTTTAAATGTCAGGCTGATATGTGCTTAAGGTTTTGAGAACAAAGTTTTGTTTTCCTGCTGTTCCTGGGCCATACTTGCTATCCAGCCCGAAATTGGTATTTCATTACCAGAAATGGGGTTATAATACCCCAAATGTATTTACATAGGTGAAATTCAGAAACTTCCAGAACCAGACCAGAGATTGACCATTAAAATAAAGGATTACAAATAATTTCTAGTGCTCAGAAAGAAGAAGTAGCTTATATTAATCTCATACATCAATAGACTACTAAAGATACTTTAAGAATTTTTTTAGGTGAAAATAGCCCAGCAGAAGATCTTAAAAAAGTCACTGACCTCCAAGCCCAGGACGAAGCCGGTTATCATAGCCATCCAGAAGACGATCCAAAATTCTGGTGAAGATAGTGATGTTTTCAGTGCTGTCATCAGGAATATCTGGGGCATGCTTGGGAGAGAGCCTGGGGCAGTAGAAGAAAAATAAAAAATAATAGTGCTTAATAGGAAACAATTACATGTCTAAACACTTTCAAGAAGATTTCAATCAACATACTGGGTCAATTAAATAGCCCTGCATCTTAACTAAACCAGCAAGAACTTCCTATTTGTCACAATAATTACCTGTGTAGAAGGCAGAGAGGGGTCATTATAATTGAGCTCTTACTCCATCATTGGCATGACCTTTACCAAACAAAGGATCCAGCCCCAACCCAGCACTGGAGAACCACAAGCAGAAATCCTGGACAGAATATTCCCAGAAACAGTACCTAGCATAAAGTTGATTCAGCAAATTTTGTTGCATGAATGAAAGAACCTCAAAATAAAATAGGGAAAATTTTGTTACTAAGAACATATCCATCTTCTAGCCTAGAAAGGTGTAGGTTCACAGAACGACATAGGCAAACAAACCTTTGAATTAAGTCTACTTCCCACTCTATGAAGATAGGGCAACAAAGCAATAGTAATCTATTAAATGCTAAATCTATCAAGATTATTAAGAGATTCTCCAAATGCTCTCATTTAATACATAAGAAAATAAGCTCAAAGAGGACACTCAATTTGCACACAGATGTGTTGTTAGTTAGAATCAGAGATAAGAGATAGGATTACAATAAAAGATTTCTGGTTGGGTTTTTTTTTTAACTTTAAATTAATTTATTTTTGCTACAGATGTTTCTCCTTTTTCCCCATTGACACCCTCCTCCCCATGCCCCCCACCTCATCCCCAACTGTGTTGACCATGTCCATCAGTTACGCATACATGTACATAAGTTCAGAGATTTATCTCCTCCCGCCCCCTCCCACCCCCTCTTCTTAGGGTTGTCAGTCTGCACCCTATTTCCACGTCTCTGAGTCTACCCCGTTCCTCAGACTGTTATGTTCATTATATTCCACAAATAAGTGAGATCATGAGATATTTGTCTTTCTCTGCTTGGCTTGTTTCACTTAGGATAATACTCTTCAGGTCCCTCCATGTCATCTCAAAGGATAAGAGGTCTTTTTTTCTTAAAGCTGCATAGTATTTCATTGTGTAAATGTACCACTGCTGTTTTATCCATTCATCTACTGATGGACACTAGGGCTGTTTCCAGATCTTGGTTATTGTAAATAGTGCTGCTATGAACATGGGGGTACATATATTCTTTCTGATTGGTGTTTCAGGCTTCCTATGGTATATTCCTGGAAGTGGAAAGACTGGGTCAAATGGCAATTCAATTTTTAATTTTTTGAGGTAACACCATCGTCTTATGCATAGTGGCTGCACCAGTCTATATTCCTACCAGCAGTGTACTAGAGTCCCCTTTTCACCACACCCTCACCATCACTTGTTCTTTGATGATTTGTTGATAGTGACCATTCTGACAGGTGTGAGGTAGTTTTCTGGTTTTCTAGTGACACTCAGCTACCTCCTACTTCTTTAGTTTGGATGCGTTTTGTAAGCTTTTCAAAGAACTAGGAACTTTAATAATGATCTAATCAGGCCCAGACTGTGATTGATACTTTTCCTTTCTAAGGAGGAGCTTAGTGTGGTTTGACAGGAATAAAAATAAAGAAAGTTCCGATGCAGGAACAAGACAAGGATGGCCACTGTCACCACTCTTATTGAACATAGTACTGGAAGTCTTGGCTACAGCAATCAGACCAGAAGAAAAAATAAAGGGGATCCAAATTGGAAAGGAGGAAGTGAAACTCATTATTCACAGACGACATGATACTATGCATAGAAAACCACAAAGACTCCATCAAAAATTTACTACATTTACTAAATGAATTTCACAAAGTAGCAGGATACAAAATTAACGTCAAGAAATCGATGGCATTCTCATACACTGATGAAGAACTCACACAAAGAAAAACTAACAAAATAATCCTATTTATCATTGGGGCAAAAAAAATTAAGATATCTAGGAATAAACTTAACCAAAGAAATAAAGGACCTATTCGCAGAAAACTGCAGGTCACTGGAAAAAGAAATAGAGGAAGATATAAAAGAGTGGAAGTATATACCTTGTTCATGGATTGGAATATTTAACATCATTAAAATGTCCATACTACCCAAAGACATCTATAGATTCAATGCAATCACCATCAAAATACCAATGACATATTTCACAGAACTAGAACAAATGCTTCAAAAGTTCATATGGAACCAAAAAAGACCTAAAATAGCCACAGCTGTCTTGAAAAAGAAAAACAAACTTGGAAGAATCATATTACCAGATTTCAGGTTATACTACAAAGCCACTGTGATCAAAACAGCCTGGTACTGGCACAAGAACAGGCATATAGTCCAGGGGAACAGAACAGAGAACCCAGAAATGGACCCAAGGCAATATGATCAATTAATATTTGACAAAGGTGGCAAGAGTATACAGTGGAGTAAAGACAGCCTCCTTAATAAATGGTGTTGGGGAAATTGGACAGCTACATGCAAAAAATGAAACTAGACCATCAACGTACACCATACATAAGAATAAACTCAAAATGGATAAAAGCCTTAAATGTGACTCCTAAATCCATAAAAATCCTAGAACAAAATGTAAGCAACAAAATTTCAGACATCATATACAGCAGAATTTTCACTGACACATCACCTAAGGCAACAGAAACAAAGGAGAAAATAAACACATGGGACTACATCAAACTCAAAAGCTTCTGCACAGCAAAAGATACAATCATCAAAATGGAAAGGCAACACACTGTATGGGAGAGCATAATTGCCAATGATATATCAGATAAGGGGTTAATTTCCAATATATATAGAGTGCTCATACAACTCCACAAAAGGAAGACAATGAACCCAATTAAAAAATGGGCAGAGGAACTAAAGGGACACCTCTCCAAACAGGACATACAAATGGCTCAGAGACATATGAAGAAATGCTCAACATCACTAATCATCAGAGAGATGCAAATTAAAACAACAATGAGGTATCACCTCACACCTGTCAGAATGGACGCCATCAACAAGTCATCAAACAATAAGTGTTGGCGAGGATGTGGAGAAGAGGGGACTCTAGTACACTGCTGGTGGGAATGCAAACTGGTGCAGCCACTATGGAAAACAATATGGTGTTACCTCAAAAAATTAAAAATTAAATTGCCATTTGACCCAGTGATCCCACTGGTAGGAATATACCCTCCGAAGCCTGAAACACCAATCAGAAATAATATATATATCCCCATGTTTGTAGCAGCACTATTTACAATAGCTGAGATCTGGAAACAGCCCAAATGTCCATCAGTAGACGAGTGGATAAAAAAGCTGTGGTACATATACACAATGGAGTACTATGCAGCTGTAAGAAAGAAAGATCTCTTATCCTTTGAGACGATATGGGGGGACCTGGCATGTATTATCCTAAGCTAAACAAGCCAAACAGAGAAAAACAAGTATCATATGATCTCACTTATTTGTGGAATGTAATGAACATAGCAGTCTGAGGAATGAGGTAGTCCCAGAGACGTGGAAGTGGGGTACAGACTGACAATCCCTAGAAGAGGGGGTGGTGAGGGAGAGATAAACCACAGAACTTATATGCATGTATGCATGAACAATGGACCTGGACAACAAAGCTGGGGACAGGGCTGGGTGGGGGTGGGGAGGAATCAGTGGGGGGAAAAGGAGAAACATCTGTAACAAAAATAAATAAATTTTAAAAAAATAGAAAGTCCCTATGTAGTTGAGGGAAAAGAGAAATATTGTGAAAGAAATGGCATTGCCAAGGGACAAGAAGCATTGTCAGAAATTAAGTTATAAACTAGAAGTCAGAAATCCTGGGTTCAAGTGCCAGCTGCATTTGTGATTTTGAGTAGATCATTAAGCAAGTTACAGTACTTTATCTCCTTAGGTCTGTTTTCCTCATTCAACTTTAGACACAGAAGGTTACAATTAATACATATACAATAACTATTCCTAGCATCCAGTCAATCAGGGCAATAAAAGACATAGAATAACAATTAAGAAGGAGACTTAATAGACAGTCAATATGTATCCCTAGCAGTGAGAAAAATTCCTTTCCTGAAAAAGACACCAAAAAATATGTGCAGAATATTAGAAATATCTGAATTGAAATGGTCTTGCTCTAAAATGCCACTGTCTAGCTAATAATCTTGGAAAATTCATTTTGAACCCCAAATTGTCCCCTTAATTCATAAACTTAATTAAATTCAATGTATCTTTATCAAGCATCAACTATGTGCCTATTACTCTCCCACATGTTGTGACAGAGAAAGAAAAAAAAAGATAAAACATGGTAAGTAATCTTTCCCTGCTTATAGGGTTTCTAAGATAATCAAATGATAAAATAGATACACATGGAAGGAAAAAGGGACCTAGGCTTAAAGAGTCTGGATACATGCATTGAATTTATTAGTTGTGTGACTTTAAGCAAGTCATACAGCACCTCTAGTAACAGTTTTCTCTCTTTACAATTAAAATACTTCACAGGTATCAACAAAAATCAACTATAATAAAAAGCACTAGAAGATTAAAAATGGCAGCAGAGTGAATGGAAGCTACACAGACTAACTTCCGGGACCAAACTAGAATTACAACTAAAATAAAGACAAGTCATCTGGAAAAACCAACTGAAGAGCAGCTGGAGAGAACCCTTATAACCAGGGACATAAAGAGGACCACAAATTGAGACTGGTAGGAACTGTGGAGGCACAACAGGACTGTCTACATGCCCATGGGCAGGAGCTAAGGGCTGTCTTAGCTGTGAGAAGTTTCCGCTGAAAAGTTGGGGATTAAAACACCAAGCTAACACCCAGTACAGAGTAGAGAAACATGGAAAGAGACCCACATAACACATAGAAGTAACAGATATTTACAGAGAATTATACACAAACTACAGAATTCACATGCTTCTCAAGTGCACACAGGACATTCCCAAATGCAGACCAATTGTTAGGACACAAACTAAGTCCCTACAAGTTCAAGAACATTAAAATTATA